GGGTGGGGAGATAATGAGTGGATGATTGGGTAAATAAGTATTTCACACCAAATAACCTAGTCTAGTCACTGGAGATTCTTTCTTAGTGTGTACTGTCTCTCTTTCACTATAAACATGAATGTATTTATGTAGAAAGTGGGAGTTGTTCCTTTTGGGACCTCCTTGCAATACTTCACTTTGTCTGTAATCTCCCAACACGGAAGCATAGGTACCTCAACATCTCATTGTTGGTAGAGAAATCAGAGCTAATGTTTGCCACTTATTTTTCACCCTTTCATTTAACATATATTCATTAATGGAGGGAAGACTTATGAACATTGGTTTTCTAGTAATTGAACATTGGGTTATGTAAAATCCTTTTAAATAGCAATCAATCTCATGCAAATAATAAATGAAGCTGACTCCTTTTGCTTCATCTGGAATGGAAGGGAACACATAACTCCTTAATTGTAGAAATAAAAGTGGAAAGACAGAAAAACATGTCTATCTTGGTTAATTACAGGAGCCTCACCTATTTTATTTTTTACTTTGAAAATTCTACTTACTAGTCATAGCCCTGCTCAAATCTAACTTTTCTTTCTATAAAGCCTTCTTTGAAACTGAAGGGCCACCGTACCTTCTGTATAGGTCTGACCTAACCTACTCATTTGATACTTCAACTATATTATCTTGCTGGTTGGTTATATATTTTAGTTGTTAGTTATATATTTTAAGTATATGTTTTGTCTCTTCTCCCCTAATTTAATATTTTTGGGGCATAAGGACAAGTATAAGTAGCTGTGCATTCTTGATCTTTTTCTATTTATTACCTTAATTTTAAATATGATTAATGAATTATATTCTAAGAATTTTTATAGCATTACTGAAATTATCCAAAATATTTGGCAACCACTCTTTCTGTTGTGGGAAATCTTTAAAAAAAAAAGACTAATTTTAGTAATCACTTACATTGTGTGTCTTGTAGTTGGTCCTAAAGATCAGTCTGAGATCTACATATTGCTGATGAGTTCTCAGTGTCTGGGCCTTCTCTGTCTGGGGTGCGATGGTGCAGTGCTATACAATTACAGGTGTGCCATGGTATTCATTCTCTTGGTTCTCTATGCAGCCACAGGCCCCTGATGTCTTGAGCCATTGCACCTGTTACCTCTGGTACCTTAAAGTGCAGATGGTTATCCTTATCTATTTCCCCATATAGTGTACAAACAGGAAACAGGGTCATATTCTATATAGGAAGTGGTGGGAAAGAATTGCAAGAAGATAGGTCCCTTAAATAATTCCACAGGCAAAGTCTTAATTACATGTCAGTAAAGCTTTGCCATTATCCTTTTTGGACACCCCATCTGGTATTGAAGTGTAATAACTAATAAAGTATTTCAAAATCAGGATTCTTTTTTCTATTGCATAACCCATGGACACAGGAAGGTGGAATTCCCAATTTTAGCTGAGATTTTGAGTTGTAATATGACCCAAGAGTCCCTTGAGTATGGCAATCTGTCATATCAGAACACACAGTGATTTTAAAAAATAGCCTATATTGTCAATATTTATTGGACTGTGTCATTAAGTGACTTCCACGATTTGGCTGAGTGAACAAGAAAATCATGCATAAAAAGTCAGTATGTAAATGAATGTTAAGGAGACTATCACAGAGCATGTCAAGCAGAAAGAAGTCTGTGAGGTCTGCTATGGTCAGACAAGGCATCCAGAGCAGAAGGCCCAACATGATGATCCATTTTCAGGTAACACAATTCAACTGTGTCTGTGAGTTTCAAGACTTGAGAGTTCAGAGATATGTTTTCTAATGAACTGGCATAGAGAGTTCTTGGGATTTGACTAGGCTAGGAAAGGGGAGGGGAGGAAAGGAACACTTCCAAGAGGATAACATCTGTCCAGAGCATCCAAGAAGAGGGTATTTAGCAGAATAGGATGGCTGCTGCCAGGTGTGCTCTTCCTTACCTGGGATATTTTCTTTATAGCCCAAGATTCTTTTATGTATTGTGAAACTAGCACCTCCAACAAACATTTATCATTTATTTTGTTTCTTATAGAGACAAATTTGAAAACCTTTTAAAACTGCAGAAATTACTGGGGCTTCAGTGCAGCCATTTCCTCAGGAGGAGTGATATCATGGATTCCTTAAAGAATGAGAATTTCGACTTGGTGATAGTTGAAAGTTTTGACTACTGTACATTCCTGGTTGCTGAGAAGCTTGGGAAGCCATTTGTGTCCATTCTTCCTACCACTTTTGGCATGGTGGACTTTGGGCTACCAAGTCCCGTGTCTTATGTTCCAATAGCTCATTCCTTGCTAACCGACTGCATGGACTTCTGGGGCAGAGTGAGGAACTTTCTGATGTTCTTTGGTTTCTCCATGAGGCAATGGCAAATCCTCTCTACTTTTGACAACACCATTAAAGAACACTTCCCAGAAGGCTCTAGGCCAGTTTTGTCTCATCTTCTAAAGAAAGCAGAGCTGTGGTTTGTTAACACTGACTTTGCCTTTGAATTTTCTCGGCCTCTGCTTCCCAACACTGTGTACGTTGGAGGCTTGATGGCCAGACCTATTAAACCAGTACCACAAGTAAGTAAAACCTTAGCTCTCAATATGGATTTTGTGCAGATGTCTTCAGTGCAGATTTGTAGCTGCCCCTGCCACTGGGGTCCTGAGACTGATAGGCAGAAACAAGTGAGGCACCTAAGGCACACTTTTTAAGGAAGAGTCTTCACTTTTCGGGTCATGCAGGTACAGTGATAGGACTTGCATACCTCTGAGATTGAGGGCCTCCTTAAATGGTACACCCAGGCTCTGCCTTGCCTCATGATATCCCTGTCCTGTTGGGGTAAGCCTTTTAATAAGTTGATATTTTTATGTGCATTTTGTAGGATCATATGCGCAGGAAGTATGTTGTAAGCATCTGTCACATACAAGAATTGTTAAAGAGATAAGTTACTCTCAATGAAACAGACAACACTGTGAGTAACGGGGTGTAACCAAGGCAGGAGGGTATAGGACTGACAATAGGACCTGTACTGTAGGCGTTATCTTCAGCATCCACAGCCTGTAGAGCCTGTTTCCTAGCCTTACCTGGGCCTCCTGATTTAATCAATCTGGGTCAGATGTGGGTATTATAAGTTGTAAAAGCTGCTTAGTTGGTTTGAATGCATGGCCCGGCCTCAGAACCCCTGTTCTAGAAGTTTTCAAAATGGAGGGGAGTTGACTGCCTGTTGCCTATCAGCACAGGGGTTGCTGTTTCATAGAATTTATTTTACATAGTATCTTGCCATCTGGAGAGAATAATGGTGATTTTTCATATTTTTAAGGAGATAGAGGCTCAGGTATTATATGTGACTTTCCCACTACCATTCACTTCAGAACCAAGGAGAGCCCTGATTTGGCCTGGGCGTCCAGGCCCCGAAGGGCCTACTCTTCCTTCAGTGGCCTTGCATTAAGCGATCAGGAAGACTTGGAGAATGAGCCATGGGCTCTGAGCTGGTGGCAGGACTTTTGAAGAATGGAGCTGGGAGGGAAGGCATTTCAGCTGGGGAGCAGAGGGGACCATAGTGTCGAGGTAGAAGTGAGCTGCCCATGACTCTGGGTTCCCTGGCTAGACAAGAGAGTGGAAGGTTCAAATGCACAAATATAGTCAAGCCAGACTGCAGGAAGCCTTGCCCGACAGGAGGGCGGATCAGGCCTCTGCCATAGCACAGGGGGAGAGAACTGGTAGGCAGCAGCATAATGGGAGTAAGTGCTGCCATGGCTGTGAGATGGCAGGCTTTGTAAAGAAATGTTTGTCCTCTGTATTTTCCAATTTTTACATCATGGTCTTAGGTTGCTTTTGTCCTGAGTTGTTGGAAAAGTCATGACGCATTTTTGCAACAAAAAACATAGAAAAAATACGTCATGACTTTTCCAACAACCCAATAGTTGTAAAAGGATGACAAGGCTATATTGTCAAAGAAGTCCTTGGAGATGGTAAATCAGGTAGTGTTATGCTGGAGGGAGTCAATAAGATGAAGGCCTGGGAGCTAGGGGGCAGCCACAGACATCCAGAGATTCAGGGTCTGAGGGAATATTTGGAAGAATTAGAAAAACTGTGTTAAAGCTGAGATTATAACATTAGGTCGTGACCTTCCTTAAGAACTGCGTGGGGGACTTGAATAAAATAAGCTATCCAAGTCTGGGGGCTGCCTTTTAAAAACCATCTCATGTGGATAAGGTATTTAGTCACATGGGTGAACCACTGAGGTAGGAGATGAACTGCAGAGATCAGTGACTGAGAATGCCGTGGGATACTGGACAAAGCACTCTACATGGCGCGCTGAGTGTGGGTGGTCAGGAGCCTTCCCTATTCTGCCCTCACTCCTCATGCCAGAGGCCTTCTCCCAGATTCTCCACTCTAGCCTCCAGATGTCCCACATCCCCCTGCTGGTCAGTGGCGCCCTGTCAATTACCTTCCCAACACTACCACCTCTAGTCTGGCTTTGGAGAACTTCCAAGTGACCATATCTCCATGGACCTAAAATGAGTAGAGGGTCTTGGATGGCTCTGACACCTGCATCCAGGTTTCAAAGAAGAAAGATGTTCCCTCCAACAGAATGGATATTAGCACAATGCAGAAGGTGCTAAGCTGTCCCAAGGGCTGTGATAATAGTTTCAGGATAGCAAGCTCTAGGAATGACAGCAGGGTGTGTTAGTAAATAGCCTGACTTTCATTCCATGGCTGTCTTGGCTTTTGTGAACAATTGTGTTCACTTCCTTTCCCTGTTTACCTCTCTCCAGGAATTTGAGACTTTCATTGCCAAGTTTGAAGAGTCTGGTTTTGTCCTTGTGGCCCTAGGCTCCGTGTTTAACATTGCTCAGTTCCAGAAGAGTCTTAAGGAGATGAACAGTGCCTTTGCTCGTCTCCCTCAAGGGGTGATATGGAAGTGTAATCCTGCCCAGTGGCCCCAAGATGTCAAGCTGGCAGCAAATGTGAAAATCGTGACGTGGCTTCCTCAGAATGACCTTTTGGGTAAGGACTACCCAAGTGTGCTTCTCTCTTTTCATTGATGTGTCTCTAAGGCTCATCAGAGCTTTGACCTCTAGTTGGGCAATGCCATCAGCACAAAGAGCTAGTTAGTCTCCAGGGGGCAGGAATGGAGGAGCCCGCTGGAGTTGTTGGCTTTACTTCCAATGAGATCAGATGGCAAAACAGCCATCTCCCCTATCTTCTGTTCTATCTCAGGCCTGATATTGGTAGCCATCAAAGTCACCTTGATCTACTGCATTTGGTCTTGAACAAGGTCACCTAAACAGAATCCAAAACTCTGTGAACTGAGAACACATACCAGGGTGCATGTTGCCACTGCATTTAGAGGGCATGTTGCCACTGCATTTAGAGGCTTCATGATCACCTGTTCATCCACATGCTCTTACACACACACACACACACACACACACACACACACACACGTAGATACATCCTCCTAAGATACTAAGGTGTGAGCAACTCATGCCTTCACAACATTGATGCCAATAGTGTCCTCACGTTGTGCCAAAATACCTGAGTGCCGATCTAAGCAACCTCATAGCCAGTTATATGATCCATTTAATTTCTGGTATCAGAGAGTTCCCTCACCCCCCAAAAGGTTTTCTTTGTGCCTAGTGCTACTGCTTAGAGACCCCTCATAGTCATATCTGTGACTGGATCAGAGGCTTATAAATAAGATTATGACTCAAATTAATCTGTGGAATTTAAGAAACAGATTCCTCATTCCAATTCTGCAAATTATTTCTTTAAGTCTAGGCTGAGACACGTGATTCTCGTTTCACAGAAGAGACAAGAGATTCTGACACACATCTCAGTTGAGCGGCACCGGCTGAGATGAGCCCTTCGTTATCAACATTCATTTTCGTTAGCTCTAAATAAGGGTGGGATGCAAAGGCTGAAAGGGAAATACTGAGTTGTAGTCTCCAGTCTCTGCTTTCAGGAGGCTTCTCATATATTTGAGGAGATAACACATACAGTGTAAGTTATGTGTGCCACAGGGGTTGTGATATCAATGAATGTGTCAGGAATTCAGAGAAGAGGGGAAATTAGTTGGCAATTAAGAAAAGATTGCTTAAAACAGGAGAGAGAGAGAGAGAGAGAGAGAGAGAGAGAGAGAGAGAGAGAGAGAATGAGAGAGAATGACAACAGAGATGAGAGAATCAAAGAGGCACTGGGTGGGTGGAGAAGGATGGATGGATGGATGGATGGATGGATGGATGGATGGATGAAGAGATATGCCTTGCTTAGCACTATTCTGTATAGAATACTCTGGGTTCTAAGTCTTGGCTGTGTTCTGCATGAGGCAAGGAGTCTCTATACAAAGACAAGGCTTGGAACCCTGTATGTTGGAACATGCACCTTGGATGTGTCCAAGCCCAATCATCTTTACAATGTCTCCAGCACACCTTGAGACCCCTTGGTGTATTTTTTTTTGCTCCTGCTGCTTTCCCTGTTACTCTGAAACTTTTAATTCTGAAATGTTCTGCTTTCTTTCTTATTTGCAACAGCTCACCCTCGCATCCGTCTTTTTGTCACCCATGGTGGGTTGAATAGTGTAATGGAGGCCATCCAACATGGAGTGCCCATGGTGGGTGTTCCCAGCTTTGGGGACCAGCCTGAAAACATGGTCCGAGTAGAAGCCAAAAAGCTTGGCGTCTCTATCCCGTTCAATCAGATCAAGGCTGAGACATTGGCTCTGAAGATGAAGCAAGTCATAGAAGACAAGAGGTATGTAGCTTTCTGGGCTGTAGTCACAGAGGCTGACTGAAGACATCAAACACCAGGGGCAACGCGAGGGTCTTTTTTACAATAGCAGCTGAAATTTCCAGGACATGTAATAATGTGTGTGATGCTAACAGCTGACCTGTTTCCTCTGAGAGCAAGGCTGGGCAATGAAGGTTAGATGCTGAGAATAATTGTCTCCCTTATGGGTTGTGAGGAACCTGAACTGCTTACACAGGGTCTCCTCGCGAGGTGTATATTTTGGGGGTGCTGATGATAGAATTTCTACTGAGGCAGGAGGTTTCCTTTCTGTACCCCAATGTGCCACACAGTTCTTCACCTCAGGCCCTTTGTCTGTGCTGCTCCCTGGAGCTCTCCTTCCTCTCTCTTCATGACGGTCAGGTCTCGTCTCTAATGTATTCTCCTCAGAGAGGTCACCTTTTTTTGACAGTCCTAGCTGGACTCCAATACCACCCACTCAAATCTTAATTCATATTTCCTCTGTACACTATTCAGGGTTTGTAATTGTCCCATTTCTTTAGAGCTTTTAATTTATCATCTGTTCCCCCACACTAGGAAGTAGAGATTAAGCTCCCCGATGACAGCAGCAAGTGTCTGTTGTTTTCCACTGTGATCCCAGGGTCTAGTACAGAGCCTGCCACAAACTAAGTCTGAATGAATTTCTGTTAAGTGAGTCATTAAAAATGGCCCTTTGATGTCTTGTATAAATTCTGGTTCAGCACAATGATGTCGCATGAAAAGAAAAGTATATATTTTCTTTATTATAACTTAGCACATTACCTTGCACATAGGTGACCTGGAAGTAATATTTGTTAGATGACTGAAAAACAACCACTGAAAAACAACCACATGGCTTGTGATTCTTAGCCCTAGGAAAGTTGTTAAGCTCCAGGGGTCTGATAACCCCAGAAATTATATATATATATATATATATATATATATATATAAATATATATTTGGTATCTCATCTGTTGAAAATGTTCGGTTTCTGACAAATGAGTTTGTAACTTTCATTGAATTTTCAAAGACCAAGACCCAAATGGCCATGATCTGCTGGCCCCTGTGAAGGAGCCATTTGGGCTGAGCTGGTCCCTGGACATTGTGCATCAAGGCCAGCTACACAATTTGTGGGGCCCCTTGTTATTAAGCTTAAGTATTTCAAGCTAGTGACAGCAGAGAATTAAATCAAGCACAGGACCTGTCTAAGCGGGGGTGGGGGTGGGGCCTGTGCAAACATGCAGCCATAGCCCTTGAAGCCAGTACTGTCAACATGAAGCTCTGCAGGGGCTAGAAAGTACGGGCGTTATCCTGGGCTTCAGTCCCCAGAGTCACATTTGTCACCTAGCCCAGACACCAGCACAAAGTAGGGGCCATTACATCATTAATGACTTTTCTATTGTAAATCATAAGCCTCCTTGGGATAGAGACTAGTCCTTATAGATTTAGTCACTTTTTTATAGTTTAGCACTTTCAGCACTAAGCGTGGATCTTTGCATGTAGGTATCTGTTTGAACTTTTCTAAGGGACCCAGACAGACAGTGGCAAGGCCAGGCCAACAACTTTTCTTTGAAACAATGTGTATGTGACACAAGGTCTCAAAGACTTCTGATATCACATGAGTGATGCCTGCCTGTGTTTCTGCCAACAGGTACAAATCGGCAGCGGTGGCCGCCAGCGTCATTAGGCGCTCCCACCCCCTGACCCCCGCCCAGCGGCTGGTGGGTTGGGTCAACCACATCCTCCAGACAGGGGGAGCGGCCCACCTCAAACCCCACGCTTTCCAGCAGCCCTGGTATGAGCAGTACCTGCTGGACGTCTTCTTATTCCTGCTGGTGGTCCTCCTGGTCACCGTGTGGCTCTGTGGGAAGCTGCTGGTCATGGTGGCCAGGTGGCTGTGTGTGGCCAGGAAGCTGAAGAAGGCCTGATGCACAGTGTAGCCTAGGTGTGCATGTGTGTGTGTGTGT